TGTTTCCACTTAACAACAGATCGGGACTTCCCTTAATGTCGGGCCACTGGCCAGTATTTGTTCAAAGAGAGCTGTAACGCAGTTCAGTAATCAGAAACTGGAAATTTCTCTTTTCCCACACACAAGCACTCCTTCCTCCTCTTATTTTGCTGAGACTTTCACACTCATTGCAACATACGGAGGCCAACATATATGCAACATTTAGTACCAGGCAACAGCCACCTTAGCCTTAAGTTTTTCTTTTATTGTTTTTCTTAAGGAGGGAGAAATGTTTTCATGCTTGTTATTCTTTTACCTTTGGGAAAATCTAATATTCTTCAGACAGTGGTGAAAGAGCAAAAACTTATTGGTATTTACTAAATATAAGACAGGAATTGTCTTTGTATTTGTGCTCAGGAAATTTCTATTTAGGATGCAGAAAATGATATGCGTATTATCAAGATGATATTTTATCAGATTAGGACAAACCCACAAACACACTTTCCACATCCTCATTATAAAATGGAAAGAAACATGACATTGTATCATGCATATGGTCATCGCAGCTCAAGAGTCCACCTCTGCCAGAAATACCACGAAATCTGCATGAAAATGCCCTATATCTTCTGACATGTCATGAACAACTCAAAAATATATGGAATAGGATTATTTATAATGCAGAGAATTATTAGAGGAAATGAAGTTCATCTGGAATCCTGAATCTTAAAAAAAGTTGATCAGGATGTTTTACTTACGACAAAAGTATTGGTGAATAAGTAAAATGTAGAGGTAAAAGAGAAGGAAAAACATCTAGCCATAATATGTCCATCCAGAGACCATGAGTGAATCTATTTTTTCAGCCATTTTCTTATAAATACTGAATTATATTTAATAAACATGGAATCATACTAGCCACACTCTTTTGTAACCTATTTAACATATTCAAGTTCCCATCAGACTGCCTGGCTCTGGGTTCCAGCTCTGTCACTGACGAATAGGATGACATTGCACAAGTTACTTAATCAACCTGCTGATAAGAATGGGAATTTTGAGCAGAGGAGTCACAGGCTGCAGAGCTGCAAAGATTAAGTGGTCATCAGACAACATTGGAAGTCTGTGAATAAAAGAGATTTCTAGTAAAAAAAAAAAAATCAGTAGTTCAATCTGTCAGACACCTGAATGGAAACATCAAGCTTGTAGTTGGATTGTGATTTGAAGAAAAGCATGAAGAGTTAGAAGTGTAGGAGTCATGGGCATATAGATATTTAGAGCAATGAGATTGGATAAAATCAAGGGAGCAACTGTAGATAGAGAAGAAGACCAAGAACTGAGCCCTGGAGTATTCCAACACTAAGAGTTTAGAGGGGAGATACAAAGGGAAGGGAAAGAACTTATGAAGAAAAAAGGAAAACAAGAGAATGCAGTGACCTGGAAACATATGAAGAAGGTGTATTAAGGAGACAGGGATTATTAAAATGTGCCAAATGCTGCTAATCAGGTAAGAAAAGGACTGAGAATTGGCCATTGAATTTGGCAATGTGGAGGTTCCCAAGATCAGTGGGTGTGGAGAGAAAGTTTGAAAGAAGAGAAGGTTTACAAGAGAACTGGAGGAAAGAAATTGGAGAGAGCTTGTATGGAAACTTATTTCAAGATTTCCTGCTAAGAGCAACAAATACATGGGACAGGTCTTGGTGGGAAAAGTAGGCTCAAAAGAAAGTTTCATTTTATTTTTCTAGGGTGGAAGAAATTATAGCTTGTTTGTAAGTGGATAGAATGATCCCGTAAAGATAATAAAATAGATGATGTAGGACATAACGGGAATTTCTGAAGTGGTGTTCTTGCGTGAGCAAGAAGGAATGGGATCTAGCGTGTAAGTGGAAGAATTAGTTTTGATATGAGCATGGATTGTTTATCTTTGGTATCAGTCAAGAAGGCCAAGTATATGAGTCATCATTTTGGAGGGAGTCAGTTTAAGTTCTCTTCTGAGAGCTTCAGTTTTCCCATTATGTCCTTTATCTTTGTTCATGTGAATTACACGGGAAGTGTCAGGGTCCCAGGGCACCCCTCATTTCCAGGTCTCTAACCCTCATAGAGTTCTGTAATTCCCATAAATGGTCTCCTATCCTCCCTCCTGAAACTCTTTCTTCATGTCATCAGAAATGTAGAGTGCACCATGTCAGTTGTGTAGGAGAGTGTTTATTTTCCTGTGCCCTCACAATACAAATGCTATTACATAAAGGAATTTTTGTCAATTTAATTGGGGAAAGGCTTATTTCATTGTTATTTAATGTAGACTTCTTCAATTTCTAGTAAGGATGAATATTTTCTTCACATTTTTAAATTGTACTTTTTCTTTTAATTAATTACTTTCATAAAAGCTGCTTATTTTTTCTGCTGGGGTTTTCAACTCCTTTTTTTTTTTTTTTTTTTTTGAGATAGGATCTTGCTCTGTCGCCCAGGCTGGAGTGCAGTGGCATGATCTTGGCTCATTGCAGCCTCTGCCTTCCAGGTCCACGCAATTCTCCTGCCTCAGCCACCTGAGTAATTGGGACTACAGGAATGCACCACCATGTCCAGCTAATTTTTGTATTTTTAGTAGAGATAGGATTTCACCATGTTTCCCAGGCTGGTCTCAAACTACTGGCTTCAAGTGATCTACCTGCCTCAACCTCCCAAAGTGCTGGGATTGCAGGTGTGAGCCACTGTGCTGGCCTCAAATCTTCCTCATTGTTTTGTAAGAACTCTTCCTATATTAGTTTATTAATCCTATTTCTCATGCATGCTGCAAATATTTTCACTCAAATTTCCACTTTTCTTTCAATGCAGTTTTTGGCATTTTTATATACTTTAAAAAATCTTATTTTACATCAATCAGTAATTTATTTAATGGAATCCATTTTGAGCACTTAAGCCCTTTCCTTGCCACTCCCAAGGCTAAGTAAATATTCATCTACATCTTAAAGAAACCCATAACAGTTCTTTGGTTTCAATTGTTACATTTAAATAGTTAATTTCATCAGAAGTATATCTGAGTGCATGGTATAAAGAAGAGATATAATTTTTTTTGCCCCCTGAAATGGTGGCCAGTTGTCACAACTGTCTTTAAGAGCTAATCTCTCGTACTAGAAGGGTCCACTATCCCCTTGTAAGGGTACGGCCCAGCCAGCAGTTTCCTGCTGAGAGAAGATGCCCTGGAATGCTCTTGAGAAAGGATTGGTCATCAGTTAGGTTGGGCCTCTGTGCCAAGGCAGCCTTTTAGGTTCATGACAGCCTGCCAGGAACAGCTCCACCCAGAATTCTGATATTAACTGGTATTTGAAGCAGCAATAAGAAGAGTATTATGCATTTAGCATCAGGGAGAGAAATAAAAACCCACAAAAACAAAAGTTGAACTTGAAAGGACAATACCAGTAGCTATGCCATTAATGATGCCATTGAGAAAATCAGATTTCACTGTCCATTTTCTAATATGTACAATCCATCTATCCATTCTCACAATTAATATTTTTCCACTGCCTACTGTGTGCCAGATACCAGGCTGGATGCTATGATAAAGAAGGCCACATCCCACCCACAGGGTGTTTACATTCAAGTAAGTATTGGGAACTGACAGGAACATCTAGAAAGCATCTGTCCCAGGTATAGGATGTAAACAGCATATAATAATGGAATAATTTAACAATACATTAATAGATGAATCAACATATCAGGATATACAGTTTGCAAACTGAAGCAAGTGTATAAATTTTTTAAATGTGATAAAGGTAGAGTTAGAAAGCTGGTGGGGAAAGAATGGTAAGTTAGTTGAGTTTCCTGAGGTTTCAAGGAATGTAGACACCTGAATAACTAAACAAGAATGAAATTTATTTACTTTAAGTTGGTAACAGTGACTTTGCTCAGCCACTCCAGCATCTCTACTTATTCTGGCCTTTATCAGTGTAGCTCATAGTCTCTGATATTTTTTGTGTAACTTCTCTTTTTCCCTATGAATAATCTCTTTGGTTATTGACTTACTGACTTAAATTCCTTTTTTATCATTCTCTCTAAAACCAACAGGAATCAGTCTTTCTCCCCAGCTCTAACACTAAAACTACTTTTATCTGCTTTTCCAATGGCCTTAGCTCAATTCTGAGTCTTCTTCTTTCTCATACTCTTAGTGGCCTTTGGCATAGTTGATCACGCCTTCCTATTTGAAACACTCTTTGCTTTGCCTAGGACACCATTCTCTCCTTGCTCTCCTGTGTCATAGGACACTTTTTCTCATTCATGTCTGATTATTTCTCATTTCTCTGATTTCACAATGCTAGAGTGCTCCAAGCTTGGTCCTTGGAATTTTTCTCTTTTCTACTTCTACTTACCCCCGGGTGATCTCTTCTAATTTTATGAATGTAAATACTGTACTATATGCTGAAAATTCTAAAATGTGTATTTCCAGTTTGGACTCCATCTTGAACCTCAGGCTCATATGTCCAATTACTAATGACATTGTCACTTAGATGTACCAAATAGGCATCTGTAGTGGAGTGTATTATTGTTCATAATGTGTGTTGCCTTGTCCAGTGCCAGCATTATATTTGCCCTGTTCTGCTGATGTCAGGGCTGGCCATGGGATTTGCTTTGGTCAATGACATGCGGTGCAAGTGACTTAAGTCGTTTTTGAGAAGAAGTCTTAAAAGCCATCATGTGGCTCCATTGTGTTATTTCTTCGCTCTGCCCTGACACCAGAAACATTCCAGATGGAGGCTGCTCCTTCAGCCTGGGTCATGAGATAAAGTTCACAAAGACACAGTAGGCCTGCAATGGACACAAATGTGAGTGAGCAAGAAATAAACTTTTTTGCTGTAAAGCGTTAAGATTTTTGGAGTTGTTTAGTTTCCTTCAAGAAAATATTTATTGCATATTATTAGTGATTATGTTTTACAGCAAAATTAAATATATACACTTTTCACAAAATAGGAATCAAGGCAGCTATCAAATTTAAATTTTGAACCAAGTCCTGATTTTTAGAATTCAGCAGTCAGTCATGATTCTGCACCAGGGCCACTAGTCCATGATTTCCAATAGTAGAGGATCTTTTCAGTAACTGGGACAAAATCTTCTTTATATGTGACCATCCTTTCCACATAAAATCCTTTTGGGCATTCAGATAGTTCACTGGGTACTTCACTTGTTGAGACATCCTTTTGTTCTACTTCATCATCTGTTGGCTTCTCCTTTTTATGGCCAAAGTAAAACATTGAGCCCACCAAAGTCCAGGTGCCGACCACGGACATCTGCCAGTACCAGGCTGTGAACTGGTTTTGATATGTGGGGATGCCAGCGAGGGCCTCTATCCTCCTGGAGTTGTTTACTGCAAAAGACATAGCCTAAATTGAATGATATAGCATCTCAAATTAACATACCCAAAACGGAATGCCTGATCTTCCCTGTCCAACCCCCAAACTGCTCTGCCCACAGAGTTCCCCATCTTGGTAATTAGCAGCTTCAACCTTCCAGTTTTCAGATTAAGAAAGTTGGAATTGTCCTTGATTACTCTCTGAATCTCACACTCCACATATAGGCACTGAAAATACATCAATGAACACAACAGACACAACAGATAAAAATTCCTGTTGAGATTACATTCAATAGGAATGAAGCAGACAATAATGAAAATGAATAAGCCTAGTAAGTTGAATATGAGGACTTCAATATATGTAATACATATTACTATATAATACTAAATATTTAAATGTGTAGAAGTTAATGCATGAGATGGAAAACACAGAGCCAGTTAAAGGGGAAGGCAGTACCCGGGTGAGAGTGAGGGTGTAGGTTGCAAGGGTAGTCCGAGTGCAACTGATTGAGACAGAAACATTTTAGCAAAGACTTGAGAGCTAAAGAACTTTCGGCATGTAATAACTCTGCCCACACCTCTACACTAAGAGATGACTAAAGTGCAGCATTGCTTCTAGCATCATAAGGCCATGTCCCTAAGATGGCTCTGCCATCCCCATTCTCAGTGTATGAACAAGCCCAAAGGGCATGAGCAGGACTCAAGGATCTGGCTTACATTTTAAAACGATCACCCTAGCTGCTATGCTGAGACTAGACAGTAATGCGGGTTGGAGGGTAAGGTTGGAAGTAGTAAGACTAATTAGGAGGTTGTCAAAATAATTTATGTGAGAGGGGATGGTAGCTCAGTCAAAAGTGATAGTAGAGATAACAGCAATGTCTAAATGTACTTTACAGAATTTCTTTATGGATTGGCTAAGAGTAGCTAAAGAGAAGTGTCAGGTATGATTTCAAAGTTTTTGTCCTGAGCAGTTGGAGGAATGGAGTTTCCCTCAGCTGAGATGGTAGCAGGTTTTGGTGGGGTGAAAGAGGAGCTCTCCCCATAGTAGCTCATTCAGGCCATTTTATAACATTTATTAAACATGGGTATGGGGTGGCTGAGTAGGCAGTTGGATATTTGAGTCTGAAGTTCAGGGGAGAGGTCTATATTAGAGATTTAAATTTGGGAGTTATTTGCAAATATATGGTATTTAAAGCCATGGACTGCATAAGACAACCAAAAAAGTGAGTGTAGCTAAAGAGAAGAGAACCTAGGACCAAAACCCTTAAATGATGAGAGAGGTTTGGAAGAAGAGGAAGTAGCACAGGAATCTGAGAAGAAACCGCCAGTGAAGTAGGAGGAAAGCAAACAAAAAAAGTGTGGTGTCCAGGAAACCAAGAGGGGAGAAGTTTGTCAAGGGAGAGGGAATGACCAACTGTTGCTGAAAAGATGAGGACTGAGAAGTGACCATTAGATTTAGTAACATAGTCACTGATGATAACCGTAGTTTGGACCAAGTGGTGGCACTAAAAGTCTGATAGGAGGCAGTGTGAGAGAGAAAAGAAGACAGATTGAGAAGCAAACAGATACCTTTTTTGAGGAGTTTTGTTGCAAAGAGGAGCAGAAAAATAGATCCATGAGTGATGGGAAAAGCAATGTTCAAAGTTGGCTCTTAGAGTTTGTCACTGATAACAATAAGATTTATATCCACATCCTAAATTACTTGATGTGTCATTCTCATGGTGGCAGGAAGCAGACAGGTTCCTAGGTGGGAAGGAGCGGGTCCCGGGTGAAACCTCAACTTCAAGCCAGTGACAAGCCAGCTGGGCCTGGGATTCCAGCTCCAGGTGAAATCCATGGCCTGGAGTGAGGGCTACCCACTACAGATCTCTCTGCTGAGAGCTGTTCAGTTGCCCAATAAAGCTCTTCTCCACCTTGCTCACCCTCCCATTGTCCATCTAACCTCATTTTTCTCGGATATGGGACAAGAACTTGTGACCCACCAAATGGCAGGAGCAAAAGGAGCTGTAACACTTTCCTGGCCAGTTCATTGAGCTACGGGTGGGAGCTAAAGGGGCTATAACACTTTCCTGGCCAGCTTGCTAAGCTGCAGGCAGTGGCATGGTACTGGCTGCAGGAGTGAAACGTAGCAACCCTTCTGGGGGCCCAGACCTTGGGCGTCCCTGTGCCAGAGCTGTAACACTATAGCCATCCTGCCCTCCGCTGGTGCCAGGTGGCCACCCCACGCAACAAGAAACAGTGGAGGGGCAGGGCCAGCCCAGGAGTCGTGGGCCAGAGCAGGGCAATGTTCAAAGTTGGCTCTTAGAGTTTGTTACTGGTAACAATAAGATTTATATCCATATCCTAAATTACTTTCAAACAAGTAATTTGATGTGTCATTCTCATGGTGGCAGGAGGCAGACAGGTTCCCAGGTGGGTGGGAAGGGGCAGGTCCCGGGTGAAACCTCAACTTCAAGCCAGTGACAAGCCAGCTGGGCCTGGGATTCCAGCTCCAGGTGAAACCCATGGCTTTTACACAAATTAGCTGAAACACACTCCCCACCCTTGAACATGAACCCCCACTTGCTGCGCTGCAGTACATGTGAAGGAGAGAAGAGCTGTGGCCCTTCTTGCAGCCCAGACCTTGGAGCTCCCTGAACCAGGGCTGTGACATACTGTAACACCCTCTTTGGGGCTCTGTGGTTCCTGGCGTCTCTGAGCTTTCCAGCATCACCACATTTCCCTCGTCCAGATGCTGGTGCCCGCAGCAGAAGCCGCTTGCGATATGTCTGGTCCAGACGCTACCTCATACAGAGCCAGCACCTGTGCAGGTGCCTGCCCCACCACAGCAGCCAGCGTGCCTGGCTGTATGTAGGGGCCAAACTGCGCGCTCCCTCACACACCCCTCGCTGCTCTGCACCTGGCTTGCCTTTGGCAAGTGTGGGATCTGGGCCGGTTGTATGAGCCGAGCGCAGCCTGCTGGTCCGAGTGGGTGGAACAAGCCCAGTGGGCATGAGCAGAACTCAAGCAGAGGGGCTGCTGGCCACAGAGGTTTCCAGCTGGTGAAGCGCCACCTGAAGGATCTGTGACAATTCTACATGCAACACGTTCATGCATTAGAAATCATTATTATCCCCATTTTATAGATGAATGAACAGAAAACTTCAGTACAGGAAGAGAAATAATTTGTGTCTCAGCAGAGAAAGAAAAATAACATAGCCCAAGTTTTCACAGATGGTAAGTTGTAGAGTAGTCTGACTCCAGAGTCTGCTCTGAAGCAGGGCTCCTGCTAGCCCATATGGTACCCCTGTGAAATTAGCAAACAGCACTTGATTTCACAAGCAGATTTTAAGTTAGTACATTGTTATGGAACCAGAATGGCTGTTCCCCAGGAGGGTTATCCAGAACATCCACTGGCAGTAGTCTTGCCTGTGTACATACAAGTGCCTGTATTTTTGCCTGATCCCACACAGGACACATTGTCTACACAATTTTCAAGTACTTCATGTTGCTCCCCTCACTTCCATGGTGGGGAATGATATCAAGTTCAAAGTTGAGGAATGAGATGCAAGCCTTGGAAAGTCCCAGGTAAGTGAGAGAAGCAATCTCAGGTGTCTCTAGGAGTGCAGTCAGAACAGATGCAACTTATGAAGGTGCGTGTGCTAGTATGTAGGTGAATGATCTCGTAAGTGTATGTATGTGGCCATATGCACCCAATAGGGGTTTATATACAAATCAGCTCTCCACTGCTCCAGAACTTAGCCTGGAATCTCCAGTTCTGCCTGTGCTTTTCCGTAAGTTAATATATGTGTATGATATGAATCAGCACACTCTTATCTGTGGTACCCTTGCACACTGCGAAACCTGAACACTCTCATGCAGTGACCTTGCTCCTAACCATTCTTCATTAGAAAACTGTTAAATGTCTACCGACATGCAAAGCACTGTGTTGCGGGATAATTCAGGAACCAGAGAGACCAAGGGGTTGAGGAGGACTTATTATTTAGGTGCACCGGCCCAGTCAGATTAACATCCAAAAAGACTGAGACCTGAACAAAGGGTCAGGTTACCTTTTAAGCATTTCCTGGGGAGGGGGGGAGACCTATGCAGGGGGAAGCATATTACAGAAGCAAGAAACAAAGACAGTTATTTAATTGAGACATGCATTACATCATTTTTTACTTTTCAAGGAAGAACATGTTTTATGACTTGAGTTTATCTGTCTAGTGACCTTGCAGCTGTACAGCCAGAGAAACAGGGTCTTCACAATGCCTGGGAAAGGAGGAGAGATAAGGCTCACTAGCCACAGACAGAAAAACAGGCAGTTAATTTTTAAAGGACTCCACCTCTTTTTCTTCCTCAGGGGGAATTGGGTTTTCTTACATACAACTGAGTTTTTGCTTACACATTCTTTAATTTCTTTTAATTCCTGTTCCAACTGTACTAGGCATTATGGAATATTCACACACCCAATCTTGTTGTCAAGAAACATAATTTCTAACAGGATAAATATGTACATAAATAGCTATAAGATACAAAGAGACAAATCCTACAAGAGAAATATTGAAAACCTGTTAAATGAATTTGCAAGAGGATGTGGTTATTTCAGTTTGGCTAAAGAAAATTTCATGAAGGAGGTAGCATTAGAGGGGTGGTTTGGCAGGTAGAATTTGGAGTGAAGAGATGGAAACAAGAATATTTAGGAGCGAACTGTGTGAATCAAAGCAGAGTGATGTGAGGGTGCAATACAGGCATGGAAACTGTGAATACCAAAATTTGGCATAGGTCTAATGTATTGATTCTGAACTCTGCCTTGGGCTGCTGAGGGGCAGTGAAGCTATTGTAGTGGTTCCTCAAACTACTGGCCAACTACAAAAGGGAATGAAAAATGTCTTGAATGTATATATATAACAATTCAAAACACATGTAACCAATTTTTATTACAATACAAATCCATTAAAAATCATTACTGAATTCCCAATTGGTTTGTTATGTATTTTCTCAATCAGCAAATACCAAGGGTATAACTATATAGTGAGCTAGTCCAACAAATGTTTTAGTGTTAAAAAAGGAGTGCTGTATGTTAAAAAGGTTGGTGGGTTTTGGAGTTAGACAAACCTTGATCTTAAACTCTGTCACTATTAATTAGCTGTGTGGGACTGGGCAACTGAGTTTGTTCCTTCATCTCTAGAGCGGTGGTTATAAAACCAACCTTGCGTTGTTTGACAATTAGAGAAATATATGGCATGTTTTAGATGCTCAGCAAGTGCGAATTATCACAAAACGAAAAGCTGAGGTCAAATCAGAGTCCACCTTGAACACCAAGCTAAGGAACTAGTATTTTTTCTTTGAGTACATAGTTACTGAAGGTTTTGTCTGAGTGACAGGAAAATCAAGAAATAAGTTAGAAGGTGATTGCGTTGGTCTAGGTGAAGCATTATGAGGCACTGGCATTGAATTTCTGGGATATTGCAGACTATTAACTATAGGACTCCACATTTACTTGTACATGAGGAATGTGAGATTAAAAAAAAAGGTCGCTATTTTGATCTAGCTGTTCTGTTAACAACAATAAAAAGTCAACAGAGATGTAAAGGTTAGTTTTGGACATTTTGAGCTTAAACTACAAATTATCGTGGCTGAAAATGCAGCAAACATAATGTTTGTTGAAAACAAGGCTTTAGGAATTTTGCTCATTCTTTAAAAACCTACAAATTTTAAAAATCAAACTTTAAAAAACTTTTTTTTTAAAAAAACGGCAGCGTAATACAATATTTGGACACGCTATATACTATGGGCTTTGAAGAAAGCCTGACCAGAAGACCCAACATCTTCCCTTATGACAGACGCTCCCGCGCCTCTGTGATGTCACCACGACCCGCGGCTCGCTCTGCGTCTTGGCAGACGTCGTGCGTCATTACCAACGAGGCTCAGGGGTCAGGACGACTCTCGGCAGCGCCATCGCTCGCCCTCTAGTGGCAGCTGCTTTTGAAGTCGGCCTCAGGCTTTGAAGTTCCCCACCGCTTCTCCTTCCCCCTCCCCTCAGCCTGGATCACCGCCCAGCGTCAGGCGAAGGGGGACGCCTCGAGGTAAAACGGAGGAAGTGCGGGACGCGGAGCCTGTGCGGCCCGGTAGCCCTGGAGAGGCCAAGACTCTAGGCCGCGAGGGCCGGGTGCGATGGCGGAGGAACAGGTGAACCGCAGCGCCGGCCTGGCCCCTGACTCTAAGGCCTCGGCGACTGCAGAATCTACGGTTTCCTCAGTGGAGACCCCTGAAGCCGCTGCCAAGTCACCGGAGCCCAAGGATTACGACAGCACCTGCGTGTTCTGCCGGATCGCGGGGCAGCAGGACCCGGGCACTGAACTCTTGTACTGCGAGGTGGGCGGCGAGGCGCGGCCGGGGGTGGGTGAGGACCTCGCCGCCCCTTGGAGCTCTGGCAGGGAGGCCTAGCCGGTGTGGATCGGGTGCAGAGGATCCCGATCACTGCTCAGCTCGCCGAGGCACGGCTGCTCTGTGTGGATGGGGCTCCGGGGAGCTGGGGATACGCCCACTACGGGCCTTTCTGCGGGGTCCAGGTGCTGACGACAGATGCACTCCTAGGGGACGGACAGGCACTGGCTCCAGCGGTATCTTTGCTGTTCCGAGGGTCAAAGAGTGAATGACAGGGCGGAATGCTTTGGCCTGTGTTTGCAGGTACCCAGGTACTTGGTACAAATAACACTTTGTGGCCTCTGCTTTTATTACAAGGATTCTCCCCCACCTTCAAGATACTGATTTTAAATCCTGCACACTCTAATACCGATACTCATGAGAAAACTAGTAGAAAATAGGTAATGATAATTGTGAAAAGCTATTTGTTAGAGTGGCAGAAAATAGGCTGGAGGCAGTGGGTCTTAGGTCAAACTATTACTGAATTGCCTCAGAATTCCACTGTCAGTTAGGATGCGTGGACATTTTCAGAGCATGAAGACTTTGCCCAGATGTTTTTAAATGGATAATCTGGTACACACTTTATTCTGTTGGTTTTACTTGTCCATATAGAAACAACTTTTTGAGAGAATTAACTCCAAAGATTGTGTCTTTTGTAGTCAACATTCCTTTATTTTTTAAAGGTAAATAGAATTCCTTCTAAGCACCTTGTTTTGGAGGTTGTTGAGCAAGATAAGGGACAGTCTGTGTCTAGATTTTACAGTCTAAAGGGCGGAGTGTATACAGAGGAGGTAGCCAATTACGATGCCTCGTGCTGTGGTCAGGTGATTTTACAGTATTTTGTAAGCTTATGGGAGGAGCATCTAACCAGATCTGAAGAATTAGGGAAGGCTTTCCAGAGGAAATGAGACTTGAAGAAATAAATAGGAGTTGATCACATGAGGAAATGGAGAGAATAATGTCCCAGGTAGAGAGACCCCCCCGAGAGGTTCAGTTTGTGTGATAGAAAAGCGAACAGAAATTGTCTAGTGCGTAGAGTTTGAGAGGATGAAAGACGAGGCTGGAGAGGTAAACAAGGGGCCAGATTATTAAGTGTGTTGGAATTCATGTGAAGGAATTTTGTCTTTAGAGCAAAGTGAAGCTTCGCAATGTTTAATGGTGGGCTAGGAGGAAGATGTTGCGGAGTTATAGGAAGGAGTTTGATCTTTGAAAGGTCATTCTGGGATCATTGTGGAGACTGATTTGGAGGAGACCAGTCCGGAGGTGTGGAGACCTGTTAGAAAGCTATTAGAGTAATCTACCCTGATGATGGCCTGAAATGAGAATGTGGTAGAGGAGATTATGAAAAGTATATCAATTTAAGAGATACAGTATTCAGGAGGTAAAACAGGCAGGACTTGATGGATACAGGTCAGTGATTCTCAACTGGGGGCAATTTTGCCCTCCCAGGGGATGTTTTCCAATGTCTTGAGATACTTTTGATTGTAACAACTTCTGACACTTCTGGGGGTTGCCTCTGGGACCTAAATAATGGGTAAAAACCAGGGTTGCTATTAACTTGGTACAGTGCACAGGATAGCACAGCCACCCCCCGGCCCCCTGCCCCCCGCCATCAACACACGCACATAAAACAGACTTATCCAGTCCTCAAAATGTCAGAAGTGCCAAGGTTTAGAAACTTTGATTTAGATATAAGAGAATAAGGAAAAGAAAGAGGGGGAAGTAAAAGATGATTTCTGGGTTTCTGGCTAGGGTAAACTGGTAGTGGTACTACCATTTCATTAAGATCAGGAACACAGGAGGAGAAAAGATAGCCAGGGGAGTGGTGGGGAGTAGCAAAACGATGAGTTCAGCTATGGAGTCATGGAGTTTGAGGTGAGTTTGAGCCATCTAACTAGAGATGTCTTTTAAATGGTTGGATAGTCTAGCGCTCTGTAGAGGGATCTGTATCTCTAACCCAGATTACAGGAACTGTCAGTTTATAGATGGAAACTGAAAAAGAAGGGAAGTGATGAGGTCACCCAGGAGGTTAAAAAGTGAAGGGGAGGCCTACACAGAACTCTGAAGAACACTAAAATCATAAGGGACAGGCAGAGGAAGAGGACCTGAAAAGGGAAGAGAGAAGGAACAGAGAAATAGAAGGAACGCTGAGAAGGCCAAGAGAAGGGAGTATGTCAAAAAGAAAGGAATTATCAGCAATGTCAGCAGCAATATCAGCCTGCCTTCATCCTCAAATCTGGGTTAGGTGACCCTTGTATGTCCTTGCAGAGAGGCCAAGTCAGATCAGGACTGGTTGTGTCCCCAAAGTGATGTTCATTGACCTTGAGGAGAGCAGTTTTATGAAGTGGTAAAGCAAAAGGCAGATAGCAGTTGATTGAGAAGAACTTGGGAAAGGAAGGAGTGAAAACAGCAAATACAGACAACTCTCGCAGGAATTTGGCAATCCAGGGGAGGAGAGAAAGGTAGTGGTAGCTACAGGAGAAGCTGGGGATTAAGAGAAAGCTTTTAAAACAGTGAAGACGTTTGTGTGTTCAAATCTCATGGGAAGATGCCTATAGAGAGAGGTTTAAAATGGCCCGGGGGTAGAACGTTGCCCCTGGGAAAGAGGAAACTCATTCCTCACTGTCTGTGTGCCAGGTACTGTTGGAGGCATGGGGATACAGCCGTAAACAAAGCATGCAAAACTCCTTGCCCTTATGGCACTTACATCATAGTTGCAGAAAAGGATAATACTCAAAATAGTAAGTACAATTTATAGCTTATTAGGTAGCAGAAAATAAAGAGGAAGGGGATGCAGTTTAAAAATTTTAGTCCGGAAAATCTGCACTAAGCAGGTGACATTTGAGTTAAGCCTTGAAAAAGGAGAAGGAGCAATTATATGGTTATTTACAAGTAAAAGCTTTGAAGTAGCTCCTCTGAAGGCTGGGAGAGAGAATTAGGGAAACAAGGATTGTTGTACAGCGGGTCATGTGAGGTTGAGGACATTCAATTTCAGGTCACACCAGTCTGCTCAGTTGTGTGATTCTCTACCCACTTTCCAGCAGCAGCCTAAGGCTGGGATTACACAAGGTAGGCAGTTGTATTGACCTAGGGTTGGGGTTTTGCCATGTGGGTGTTATAGAAGTGTAGTAAGACACAGTTAAGAAGTTATGGAGCTGGGTGCAGTGGCTCATGCCTGTAATCCCAGCACTTTAGGAGGCTGAGGTGGGCGGATCATGAGGTCAGGAGTTTGAGACCAGCCTGGCCAACATGGTGAAACCCCATTTCTACTAAAAATACGAAAATTAGCTGGGTGTGGTGGCAGGCACCTGTAATCGCAGCTACTTGGGAGGCAGAGGGAGGAGAACTGCTTGAACCCGGGAGGTGGAGGTTGCAGTGAGCCAAGATGGCGCCACTGCACTCCAGCCTGGGTGACAGAGCAAGACTCTGTCTGGAAAAAAAAAAAAGAAGAAGTTATGGCAGGCAAGTGGCTGAAGTGGTAGACCATGGAATATATGCTGAATAGAAGGAAGTAAAGACAGCACCTGACAAGGAGAAAGAATACGTACACCAGTTGTCTGTTTGCAGACCTCTGTTGGACTGACCCATAGAGTCAGGAGGGACCTAGTTCTGCCTCTTCAATCTCCCTTTATTTTACTAAATATAAAAGTAGGCTAAAGAGAGGTAAAGTGCATTTTCAAACTCAGAGTTCAATATTTAGTAGATCCTTAGAAAGTGCTTTTAAATTTTGTATTCTGCAATTCCAATAATGAAACTCAAGGAAAATAGATACTAGTAGCTCTAGAAAGCTTTGTCTAAAAATAGTCATCAAAAGGGGTGGGATCCAGACTTCTATCACATCCAAGGTGAGAATTTTTCTTGGTTAGGAACAAAGTAAACAACATGAAGAGCCTGGGGATATTTTCATGGTGGAAATAAGACATAATCAGTACTTTGGACTAATTTACACCCTGAATTAGGGAAATAGGGTGAATATATACAATAGCCCATTGTCAGTAGAAAAACACAAACTGCTTTTTTTGTTTTCCCATTCAACAGCAATCAACACAGAACACTTCTGTGACCAAATGTATGGAGGTGTTCCCACATACACCAAGCAAACAATCAGTTTTGCAGCAGACACCAGCTCGGTGTCCTCCATTGCAATTCTTATACTATCTACCTGGTGATAGCATCAGATCCCACGAGTTGCAGACTCAGTCCCCAAAACTGGCCTGCCCTTCCCACCAGTTGCAAGTTCAGGCCTCTGGAACTTCTGACCGACCAGCTTGAAGTTGGGGGTCCCACGACCTTCTCTTTGGGTTCTAGAACTTGCTAGAGTGGCTTGCAGAACTCAGGGAAACACTTAGGTTTACTGGTTTATTATAGAGGATATTCCAAAGGATGCTGATGAAGAGATGAATAGCCCTAAGTATGGGGAAAAGGGGGCAGAGCTTCCATGCCCTCCTCAGGCGTGTCCTCTCCCAGGAGCCTCCATGAGTTCAGCTATCCAGAAACTCTCTAAATTCTGTTCTCTTGGGCCTTTTATGGAGTCTTCATTGGATAGGCCTGACTGACAATTCTGTATTAATGTGACTGGACAAAAAGGGTATGATCTAATACTGGTAGACTGAGTGGAGAAACCCAGCAAGGCCTGTCCAGATTCTTCTTGGCCTCTGTGCAGCTTTCCTTCCTCCGGGGTATGAGGCAGAATCCCTTCAGAAATGAGAGTCTCATGATCCACAATCAGAAAGGTCAGGGAAGATTATAGTCCTGACTTGGGCAGGTAAAGGGAGGGCAAGAGAAAGTCAGAGAGCTTGAGAGAGAGATTCTTTTTCTGAGGCCTGTCTCTGAGGCCTAAAGTGCCTCAACATGATTAAAAAAAAAAGACTGTAACAAGGGTATTGGGAGTTATGAGCTAGGAATCATGGATGGAAACCTATATATATATATCACACACATATCCATAT